GTGGGGACCCCCCCCCAGCGCAGGGGCTGAAGGAAATGTGGTCTGTCTTGCAGGACATCGATTTGATTGACATCCTGTGGAGACAGGATATTGATCTCGGCGCTGGGCGAGAGATTTTTGACTACAGCCACCGGCAGAAAGAGAGCGAAGTGGACAAAGAGCTGAGCGATGGGAGGGAGCGCGGGGACAGCTGGAGGAGTGCAGGGAATGAGGTCTTGGATAGAAACCTGCTAGTTGATGGAGAGACCGGGGAGAGTTTCCCTGCGCAGGTAACGCCCCCGGGCCGGGCTCTGCTTGGGGGCCTCCGTGGGGGCCGCTCGGAGCTGCAGCAGCAGGGTTGGCCCAGGTGGGCGACAGGATTTGGCGCTGGCGAGGCCAGGGCAGGGCTGGCCCCGCGTGTCCCCGTGTCCCCGGCAGCCGCAGAGTCCCCTCAGCCCCGTGGCGAGTCCTTGCGTGGCAGGAGGCAGGGGAGAGGCTCTCCGGCGCGTTCCCGTTCCCTGGAGCAGCAGGATGGAGCACTGGGTGGGGCCTCTGGCTCTTTTTTGGATGCGCTGTAATAAAGCCCTGCTGGAAGGAGCTCGTTCCCTCAGCACCACCTTCCCCGAATCCCGAGGCTACGATTCCCTGTGTTTCCTTCCCCCCCAGGTGCCCGGTGCGGAGGATCAGACAGCCCTGTCCCTGGAGGAGTGCCTTAGGCTGCTGGAGGCCACCTTCCCTTTCGGGGAGAACTCGGAGGTGAGCGGATGGGGCGGATCCAGGGGCTCTCCCTGCCTCACCCACCGGGATTTCGGTGCCTCCAGCATCTTTCCCGCAGCGAACCGGGCTTGGCCGCTCAGGAGGCTCCTTGAAACCACCCAAGGAGGGGGTGGGCCACCATTAATTAAAGCCTCCTGGCTTTGCTCCTCGTTAGTCCGTGGCAAGGCAGGGAGGAGCGGGCAGGCCGTGGCCGGGAGCAGCGGGAAGGGCGCCGGGCTGGGGGGTGGCTGCAGTGCCGAGGCTCCAGCCCTGACTCCCCTCACGTGCTCAGTTCCCAGCTGCGGATGTCTCCGCCCTGAGCGAAGCCGTCCCCGGGCAGAGCCGGGCCCCGGGCGGCCCCCCCACCCTGCTGTCCCCCCTCCTGGCCGAGAACGAGTCGCCCTTCGACCTGGAGCAGCAGTGGCAGGACCTCATGTCCATCATGGAGATGCAGGTGAGCCCCGGGAGAGGGACGGGCAGGGCTTTGTGTCCCCCCAGGTGCTCCGTGAGCTCGGGTGTGGTGACGCCGTGGTGGCCCTGGGGCCCGTCTGCTGCAGCCGGATGGGGGGAGCTCCTTCCAGCCTGGAACGTCGTCCTGTCCTTCACCGCTGTCCCCGCGTCTCTTCCAGGCCATGGAAGTGAACTCCACGACGGGCGAGAGCCTGTTCGGCGGCACCGGCGGGGACCTCCTGGCGTCCAACTACAGCCTGGCCCCCGGCACCCCCATCAACCAGAACGTGAGCCTGCATCAGGCCTCGCTGGGCAGCTGCTCCCAGGACTTCTCCCTCTTCAGCTCCGAGATCGAGAGCCCCTCCATGGCGGGCGGCTCGGCCCTGCTGCAGCTGACGCCGGACAACTCCACCGGCCTCAACAGCACCTTCGGCTCCACCAACCTGAGCGGGATCTTCTTCCCGCCCCAGATGAACAGCACGGGCAACGAGACGGCCGGGCCCGAGCTGCCCGACCCGCTGGGAGGGCTCCTGGACGAGGCCATGCTGGATGAGATCAGCCTCATGGACCTGGCCATCGAGGAGGGCTTCAACCCCGTGCAGGCCTCGCAGCTGGAAGAGGAGTTCGACTCCGACTCAGGTCTTTCCCTGGATTCTGGCCACAGCCCCGCTTCTCTGAGCAGCTCGGAAGCCTCGTCCTCCTCGTCCTCTTCCTCCTCGTCCTCGTCCTCCTCCTCGTTTTCCGAGGAAGGGGCCGTGGGCTACAGCTCCGACTCGGAGAACGTGGACTTCGAGGAAGCGGAAGGGGCGGTGGGATACCAGCCGGAGTACAGCAAGTTCTGCCGCATGAGCTACCAGGACCCGGCCCAGCTCCATTACCTGCCTTACCTGGAGCACGTTGGCCACAACCACACCTACAACATGGCCCCGGGGGCCCTGGATCCCGAGGAGCCCAAACTGCCCGGCGGCGGCAAGAAGAGCGGCGGCCCCAAGGAGAAACCGTCCGAGTTCCTGGACAAGCAGATGAGCAGGGACGAGCACCGAGCCAGGGCCATGAAGATCCCCTTCACCAACGACAAGATCATCAACCTGCCCGTGGAGGAGTTCAACGAGCTCCTGTCCAAGTACCAGCTCAGCGAGGCCCAGCTCAGCCTCATCCGCGACATCCGCCGGCGCGGCAAGAACAAGATGGCGGCGCAGAACTGCCGCAAGAGGAAGCTGGACACCATCCTCAACCTGGAACGGGACGTGGAGGACCTGCAGCGCGACAAGTCCAAACTGCTCAGGGAGAAGGTGGAGTTCCTCAAGTCCATCCGGCAGATGAAGCAGAAGGTGCAGAGCCTGTACCAGGAGGTGTTCGGGCGGCTGCGGGACGAGCAGGGGCGGCCCTACTCGCCCAGCCAGTACGCGCTGCAGTACGGCAGCGACGGCTCCGTCCTGCTCATCCCCCGCGGCCCCGCCGAGCCCCAGCCCCGGCGCCAGGACCGCAAGCAGAAGGACCGCAGGAAGTGAGGGAGGGGCCAGGGGAGAGAAGCAGGAGCGGGGACGCTTCGCCACGAGGGGAGAGAGAGGGAGAGAGAGAACTGGAGAAGGGCTGAGCCTGGAAGTAACTTTTAGAGGAACTTTCATGCCTTCTTATCCGATATATCTTCTCAACCACGCACCGGGG